GGGGGTGGGGAGAACTCCAGAGCTGCTCTTGCTCCAATCTGTCCACCCCACATGGGCAGCCAGGCTCAGCTTGGGACAGCAACAGTGGTGTCAGCAGGTGGGTTCCTCTTCTTTGCCCGGTCCATTGCCACCAGTGCTGCTAAAACCAGCTCCCTATGCAGCCCGGCTGGAGAAAAGCAGGAGCAGCTCTGGGGCTCCTCCCAGGGCAGACAGGTGGAGCAGCAGCAATGGCTGGAGAAGGAAAGGGATGTGCCACAGAGCATAGAAAGAAACAAAGGGAGAGCCAGAAGAAAGGAGGGGTGGAATTCTGTACCTCTGTACTGCCTGTTGCTGCTTCTGCACATCCCTTTACAAAGGGACAAAAAGTAAAAAATGATAACAATATATTCTAACACAAAAATATTTTGAAATATTTAATGTTGATGTTATTTTTACAACTTGATGTTATAATCTATAATAATGTAATACTCAATCTGTTTTTACTTTTCTGTACTTAATATGCCCACCAGCAATGAGATGTGAAATAGGTATGATACAGATGGAAAAGAGTCTTGGTGCAATCCTTCATCCTTGCTTGACTCCAGCTCTGATAATGAGCCATTATCCAAGCCATTGCTTAGGACAGTTTCTGTCATTTCATCATGAAGGAGTGTGATAGCAGCACATTTTAATGGGCATCCAAATCTCATGTTTGATTGAGCTCTATCTTTGATAGAGCCTCTCTGATTGAATCAAAGACCTTAATCAGGTTAATGAAGGCCATGTAAAGATCTCAGTGTTGCTTGTGGCACTTCTGCTGCAGCTAAAAAATCGTATCTACTGTACCTGAGTGACCTGAAAACACACGGGGATATGGGTAGAATCTACTCAGTGAGGAAGGTGAGTCTATTGAGGAGAAAGCAGGCGAGGATTTACCCAGCTATGGATAGGAGAACACTACCACAATAATATCTACAATATATTCTATCTCCTTCCTTGAATATTTTAATGATTTTTGGCTTCTGTCAGGACATTGTGAATCTGTTCGCATTACCAGGTTTTCCGAATAACAGTGCAGTTTGTGAAGAGAAGCTCTCTCACCTTGCTTATAAATTTCAGCTGGTATTCCATCAGGACTATACACTTTGTTATTTTCATCTACTGAGTGGCTTCTAAGGCCTCTTGATAAATTGGTGGATTTGCAAGGTAGTCCTAATGGGGTGTTGTGGAATGGCTTCAGTAATGTTGTCTTCGATCTAAGAACCCCAGTTCAGGAGCTCTTGCAATTGCTCTTTCCGTTATGTCTTGGTGGTGGAGCTGTCTTTCAAGAGTGTTATTCCATCTCAGTGTTACTGGATCTCAGAGAGAGGGCTTCTTGTGTGCTTGGGCCACAGGTGGCTTTGGTTATACTGAAGAATCTCCACAGGGCATGGCAAATTTTCAAATCTCTTTTGCTTTGTCCTCGCGCTACTTGTTCTTTCACCCTTGAATTTTTCTCTGGCTTTAATGTGGTTATAACTGTCTTGCTTCTGTTTGGAGTTCATGTCATGCTGCCATATTTTGAAGGCTCTCCTTATTTGTCACTGAGCGCTTGAATTGCCTTATCATTCTCATCAAACTAGTCTTGATGTTTCTTTATTGGAGAAGCCTAGGAATTCTTTGCATGCCAGTAGCTTTCTTGAGGCTCTCCTAGTGGTTAATGGCATGAAGATCATCAAGGAGGTTGGAGATGATCACTTTTAAATGCTCAATATTGAACCTCTTTCTTGATAGCTTCTTTTGTTTATGTTCTTGTTTTTGTGCAATGCAAATGGACACGATGATCTGTATCGGCCAATGATTTATTCAGCCTTCTGCTCAAAAAAGGAAGTCAAACAAAATCAGCACAGAAATTTTTGGCCAAACTTAATATTGGCATAGATTGACACAACTCCATTGATCTCTTTGGCCCATAATAAATATCTCTGAAGATACTCTACATAATTTGAATTTGTAATCAAATTAAAGAGATAAAGCATTTGCCTAACAGTTTTCCAAATGTCCGTATAGTTGGTTCTGCCAATTTTCAAAGGTAATATATTTTCAAACTTTTAAGACTTCTTTTTGAGAAAAAAATGTCATTTCAAGTATGTTTCATCAGCAGTTGCAACTTATACAAGCTTGTATTTAATCACTACATAAATGAATGAACTCTCAGAGAAATTGCCCAATGTGCTGAAGGAAGTAGTGGTGTTGATTCAGCAAAAGAAACTCTTTCTTTGCCTGCATGTTCTGCTGGAGGTAGTCTCTCTTGGATGAAACATAAATCAAAGTCATCAATTGGGGTGGTTGAAAATTGGAATTTTAATGGGACAGGAAGTTCCAATATTTCAAAATCTGTCTTCATTCTGTATCATTCTGAAAAGTCATCACTTTTTCTTTTCTTTTCTTTCTTTTTTTTTTGCGGAATGGAAAATTCTGAAAAATATTTAGAAATATTGAAACATTTGGTAATTTGGACATTCCTAAATCAAAATATTTTGTTTTTGTTTGGCTAAGTTTGCCATTGATCTGTGTTTCTCACAGCTGCAGCTGTAATTCCTGGGGCCTGAGATTCAAGGGCCTCATGCTCCCATTCTTTAATGGCCAGGCACAATGGATGCATTGGCATAATATACCATCAGTGCATGACTCTGGACAATGTGTCTCGTTTGTTCAGCCAAAAGGGAGAATATGGCAATATGGTGTAACATCAGAGATGCATATAGTCCTGCCACAAAGCCCAATTCATTGGAGAAAATAAGGGGAGGAAAAGTCACCTAAAGTAGAAATCCATGGGGAAGTCTGACAGCTCAGGTACAGTCAGATTAATTTTGAACTGACTCAAAGAAAACACCTGACTTAGCTCCACAAAAATGTTTTGGCTCATTTTCCTGATTATTCATTTCAGTAATATGAACCTTTTAATGAAAAAGGCTATACTTTCCGAAAGAAAAGAAAAGAAAAGAAAAGAAAAGACCAGAACAGAGAACTGTTCCAATCTGTATCTATTAAAGAGTCTGAAGCATCTGTCACAAAAGTCAGGATACTAGCTCAGGTGACACTGCCAAATGTACTTAAACAGTGACTTCTTTAATTCACCTGTGGTTTCATTTGTGTCTTCTTATTTTCTTGCCTCGAATTAAGGGGTTCACCTATGTGCTGTTTAAGACCTGCTGAGTTGTACCCAAATGCTGGATGCATTTCCAATATTGTTAATATGATTCCTCTATATTTATATTTGGTTTTTGAAAATGCATAAGGAGGCTGTTGGATAAGTAATACATTTCTAATCCCTACTTCTTTTTTTCAGCTTATACTGATGATGTTGTAACTGCTATTAAACAAAGCAGACGAACTATAATTATTTTGAGCCCCAGCTATGTCAATGGACCAAGCATTTTTGAACTGCAGGCAGCAGTGAGCTGTGCTTTAGAAGATAGCACAATAAAACTGGTTTTAATTAAGTTCCAGGCTTTCCAAGAGCCAGATTATTTACCTCCAGTAGTGAAGAAAGCTCTTCGGATTTTACCAGTGATTACCTGGAAGTCTTCTAACTGGACTACTCCAAACAAAAAATTCTGGAAAAATATACAATATTATATGCCGGTGAAGAATACTGAAGGGTTGGGGAAAAAACAGACTAAAGGTTTCCTCCAAAGGTTATTCAGCATGGATTATTAATAGCATAAATACCACTGAAGGAAGCCAGCAGACTTAGAAGAACTTCTTATATCATCAGACCACTACTATAAGATGTGGCTGTCATCTGACTCATTGATAAATCACTACAAAATAAAGTGAAAAGAACTCTTATGATGAGACATGCAAAAAGCTATTACTGCAAATGTATGGAACTTAGCACAGCTATGATATGGACTTGTATTTAATGTGTATATATATATATATTCAGATATATAATATTTATTTGTTTTAAGCTCATGTCCAGAAATCCTACAGGGGGTGAGCTCCCACCATTTTGTTAAATGCTGTACAAACATGAGGTAAAAGAGTATGCTAGAGGAGCTAACACTCCATGATGTCCTCAGAAAGCCAGATCTTCATTTAGAGGTAATTTGCACTGACTTTTGGGCTTTCTTATGTGGAAGAAGCTAAAACTGTAAATCCGTAGAGATGCGATCTCTTGAAGTACTCAGCATTTGCTTAGCTCTGCTGTATTAAAAGTCAATGGCCAAACTCCTGTTGACTTCATTGGAGTAATGCTGAGCATATTTGAAAGGTTCAACATTTCCCGAATAGACTGGGTAACACCTGGACTTGAATGAAAACAAGCTTACTGAAGCTTAGTTTAGGTAAAGGGAGAGAAAACTTGTAGGTTGGGGGAAGCAGCTAGAAAATATTCTAGGAAATCCTCAGCATTTAGGAATAAGCTTCTCCCATTCTACAGATGGGGAGAATCCCAGTCTCTGATCCACATATAACTTTGTTGAAAACTCAGTAAGGAGATTCTCCTGGAGTCTTCCTCTCCATAGAATCGCCCATAGGTGGATCTAGGATTTTGAAAAGGGAGTTACACATGGGGCACGTCCAGATCAGCGAACATATGCAGTATGCAGCACCACAGACCCATCTGCAGTGCCACACATCACACGTGCAGGCATCTCCCCACTGCTGATTTGCAGTGGGGGTGGGGGAGGCAATCCTGGTGTCAAATAAACCTGTGCTAGAAAAAAAGCAGGGTGGTGCCCCTGGTAGCAGTATGTGCCACCTGAAATCAGAGCCTGGCTGGCCAGAGCCACACTCTGGTTGCTGGCCAGGCTCTCTGTTGCTGGATTGTCACTGCTGGAGCCCTGGGAGGTCCCCAGGACCTGGGTAATACTGGTGGGGCCAGCCCAGGTGCCCCCTACCTCACCCAGGGCAACTTGCTGTGTGCCAGAGTATGCATGCACAGGCATTCTCCAGGGACAAGTAGCAGCGGCACAGTTATGTGCCGCTGCTATTTGTCCCTCTAGAAACACAGATGCGCGCATGTCTGGACGTACCCATAGATTTTTTATAGCACCAACTGGGTCTAATTAGATAGAAATATGGATTTGGGTATTAACATCTTACTGAAAATACTGGAGCTTGTACCACCTCACTGACATTTCCCTTTATGCACTGAACAAGACCAGAGACCAGCTGGAACGCTATTTTATGGTATCTGAACCCAGGCAGCCCGATCACTCTTTGAGTGAGGGAAAGAAAATTCTAACAAGTGTAAAATATTTTACTCATGCGGACACATACATATTATATTGACTTGATTCCCCTGTCCATCAGTCCCCTGAACTTGATAGGTACTATTGGTGGGCAGCAGCCAATATACAGTCAATCAGTTGTATAGTGCCAATAAGGCCATATACAAAAGACCATATTGTTACAGTTTGGAGACTCATCTTATTTCTGACCATTCCTGGCTTCCTCAAGCACAAGAATTTTCAGACATAGATTTCAAACAGATGCTCCTTTGGGATATAATCACATGATTCCCTACTCTCGGGTTATGTCTACATGAGACACTGGCCAAATAATACTGCACAGTAATGTGTCACAGCACTAACAGTGCTAATATGCTACTGCATAGTATTATTAGGCTAGTGTGCAGTAGCATCATTTAAAAGGTGTTTGCTGGCACTACTGCACAATAACTCTGGTTATTGCACATTGATTATACAAGTACCAAATAACTGCTCAGTAATCACTGTGTAGTAATGTCTTGTGTAGATGCATCCTTAGATGGGACCTTAGTCTGTAGTCCCAGGTTACTGTAATTACCTCAGCTGGCCTGTGTTATCTTCAGCACTGAAGTTCTGTTCTGTCCAAGAACTGTGACTGATGGTACCCACAGACCAAGCTGAAAGCTTTGCAAAAGCAAAAATTGTTTATTCAAAACCAAAGCATTTAAGAGAAAACATATTAAAACAACAAATAGTCTATACATGTGCCTAACCTCCTCTAACACTTACTTACTATTCCCTGCAAGCTGGGGAACATCCCAAATACCTCAGATACACCTGTGAGGCCTATTCCCTGTTCCATGTCAGTCTGTTCCACCAATACACAGCTTAGGCACAACTCATCCCTTCCTTTTTCTCCAGAGAGTCACTTCAAGCATTTAGTATCCCTTTGCTCTCTAGTCTCCTAGTTTTGGCCAAATAGCTGTGCAACTAGGCTGGAGGTTGCACATCTTCACAGGTAATAGCTTGACAATTCTCTTGTAATAGCCTTCAAATGTTTACCAAGAGCAGTTCTCTCTAGACCTATTGTGTTGCCTTTCCCCAATTAAGATATACTGAAAAATACCTAATTTCATTGGAATGCCTAATAATCCAATAAAGGTATGCAAGAATTCTACATAACTAATCAATCAATTACATACCATTTATACAGCTGGGCTACATTCATTTATTTAAGGCAAGAAAGGACCAATGAATGCCTTCATAACAGAGGCCATTTCATGTTATGCAGTTACTCATACATTCAACCAGATTACCCATATTGAAAAAACCTTCTAATCTTTATACAAACATACCCATCAAAGTATCCATCACTTTCCTGTTTTTTATAAGAATTTAATGTTTAATGAGAGTTTCATGAGGTTTGATAAGTGAATGCATGGGGAAATGATCCATGTACAACTATATTATTTATTGTGACTATTACAGATGTAAGCTCCTCACTTTCTTTGGATTGATCAGTGTTTTATTCCTTGAGGTGCCCTTCAAAACCAACAAGATTAGCGTTCAGTAAGGTACTACTTAATGTGAATGCAAGTGGCAGCACCAGGATCTTAGTAACTGTCAAAGAAAGAAATAGAAGAGTGTACAGCAGGACACTTTTCTTTTTATAACTGAACAGTGAAGGTGAATTTCCTGTTTCTGGAAGAAAGAAATATACCAAGATTGGTTCCAATAAGTGTTACACTGGTATATGTAAAATAAAAAAAAAAATTAAAATGCAAAAGGTACCACAGTGAGTTCCATTTAACAAGGGTTAATTTAAAGTGTTGTACCTATTTTTAAAGTGTTGTAAAGCTGTGAACTTCTGTTAAGTCCTGGCAATAAAATGTTTTAAATGGCGAAAAAGCAATTTCTATACACACCAGGAGTATGTTTTATGGAGCTATGAGAAACAGCAAAATTTAACTGAACAATATGTAATTTTTGTGATTCTCCACTAGATGTCTCTAAAGTAACTTTTGAAAGATACATTTATTTACATATGAAGTAAAGTATCAAGTGAGTCAGTACAAGTAAGTCAGATATTGGAGCTACCAAGGAGCATTGAGCATTTTGAATGCAGGAGGGAGCAAGGCAGGCCAGGACAAAGAGGTGTGGAGCAGGTAGTTCTACCTGTTCAGCATGCTGGGAAATGCACCCTCTGATTCTTTTTAGTCTTGTGACATTTCTTAAGGGTCTCCTGTCAACTTTTATCTACTCTTCTCTGTAGAAACAAAAGCAAGGACTCTTTTAGATGGAAAGAGACTTTATTCCTAAACAGCGGGAGGCTGCTGAGAGATTTTATTTGTATGTAAGGAGCCTGAAAATACCTGTGTCTTCATCTAAACTCCTGATCCTTCTGCAATTCAAAATAGAAAGGCACAGGGATATTGGGATTTTTAAAATGATAAGCAATTTTGTGGTGAAGTCCTGAAGATTTTGTCACTGCAAGCTGAAAATACCACATGCATCCACGTATACAGTAGATGCTACATATATAATAAAAGAAAATTTCAATCCTGACTATGGGCACTCATGTGCTAATATGTCAGAATCTTGTGAACTGGTTACTATTGATATTGACTCTGAAGTGTCCCTTTGCTGCTCCATTTTTGGATTTAGCCAAAATGAGCAGTGTCTCAACTCCACACTACGAACCCGAAGAGGCCGAGGACTCTTTGAGGGATGAGCGACTGCATGTTTTTAAAGTGAATTATTACTACGTGCAGATTCCCTGTGAAGTGACCCTTTGGATACTCCTTGCCTCCCTTGCAAAAATAGGTAAGTAAAAAATTTCCAGTTGGGGCATTTTTTGTTAAGGAAATACGTGAAAGAAAAAGGCAAAAAAAGTCCAACAGATTTATGCCCAGCCACATACATGAGGGAGTTAGAAATAATCGGGACTATTTGTTTTTGTAGGTCCTCTTCTCAGGAGGGAGATGCAGGGGAAAAACAGATGTCTTAGTTACTATGAAGCCAACAGGAATCCCAGAGAAAGAATAATGAAAAATAATAACTGCAACTCTAAAGCAAGACCTTTTTAGGGATACAATCAGCTGCTATCTGTCCCAGGGGAAACTCTAAATCTCCTCTTCACATAAGTAGAAAGCCCTGTTACATGTTGCAAAATTTAAGACCAATCGCTTGTACATGAAAGATGAAATATTGCATATGTAAACTGGGTTTATTTAATTGTGGGGAAGAAATTCTCCAGTTGGTGGGAACTGCAGGAAAGATTGCCTGGGAATTTTGGAAAAAAATGTTTACTATTTGACATAGTACAGAAGGAATTTTACAAGTAGGTCAGGAGGTAGTATTAATAGTCAGGGAGTAGATTAGGGGCCAACATTGCAGAAAAAATGTTAAATTCATCACATGAATATAAATGTATGTACACACTATTTGCACACATGCGTGCACACAGATGTGCATATTTACCTGTATGCCTGTTTGTCCACAAGTATAAATATGTGGGGAGAGAAAGACAATATTACTATGAGATATACTTAACATA